CTACAAGATGACAAGCAGGGTGCATTTAAAGCTGCTGTGGTCGAGAATCAAATGCATAACCCCCTTCCCCACAAAGTAAAAGCCTGTTTCTCGATTGCTAGGTTGTTAAATCTGCCTCCTCTACAATTCCTCCTAACTCATTCATGATAGTTACTGGAAAACCAAGGAGAAAAGCACATCCTCTTTGTAAAATGCAGATATACCCCAGTGCTCAGCTTCTCCTTTCACTTCATATTTGCTGAGTTGTAGTACTGTCATTGCCAGCTAGCGATTGGGAACAAAGAATTGAGAAGGATTGCTCATATGCCACCAATATGAGGAAACTGAGCATCAGAGAGAGAGAGAGGTGCCCATTTGCACAGAGGATCTTGCTACGTTCTACATTCTGGCATCTCTGACGAGGGGAAAAGCAGGTCTATCCATTTATGGTGTGCCTTTCACAATCTTATGATGGGGGCACCAGACATACAGCAAAGCCTCATTTGGGGGAGAAGATGGCTGTTATTCTCCCATATCTGGTAAAATCAGATCATATGTCACAGGTTGCATCACTTTCATAATTGGTGTCATTGTGTGATGACAACATAATGAGGCAGAATTTGATCCCTCCCACTGAGGTCTAGATAGTTAGGTTTCACTGTATTGTAAAGTAAATAATATGAATATACCTTTTTAAAAATTAAAAGATCACTTTTTAAAAAAAAATGCACAAAACACAAACTTTTTAAAATACGGGTGTTAGCTGACGTTAATTTATTTCCATTTCCCAGATCTTACATTCATGTTTAGACTATGAATTTTAGATCAGCCATGATCATTTCATTACTCTTTTCTTTGCTCATTACCTGCAAAACACTGTGGGGAGCTTCCTTTCTATAGCATAAGCTGATTGATCAGCTCCTAGGTTGGTGGCCAATCCTCTGATCCTTTTATATTCAGAAAACATTTGGGGAAATGTGCACTTAGATATTCTTTAAAAGTGTATTTTATTTTCAGAACAACTTTTACTTTGCCAGCCAGCTCTCTTACCTTGACCCTTTTTACTTTTCTGCATCTGTGGTTTAATTTTCCTGTCAAACTGGAGCAGCCCAACTCGTTGACTGTATTTTACATTGTTAACTGGATTGGGAAGGGCTCTGTGCCCCAAGTATTAGTAAATCTCTCCTGTAGCTGTTGTGTACTCCTCCTCCTCCTCCTCCTCCTCAAATCTGGTTTATATACTCTAGGTCAGGGGTAGGCAACCTTGGCTCTTTTATGACTTGTGGACTTTAACACTCAGAATTCCTCAGCCAGCATAGTGTTGAAGTCCACAAGTCATAAAAGAGCCACGGTTGCCTACCCCTGCTCTTGATTGCTTGCAAAGACCTTCCTCTGCTGTAGCACCTAACTATTCCTGCCTTTTTCTGGTCTTTCTCTGGTTCCCTTCTCCTGCTTTCCAGTCTGAAGACTTCCCACTGAAGCCAAAGGTAAAAATTGTTAAGCTGATAGCATTTTGTGGCATAGGGGTCTAGGTACTTGGGGGTTCACCTGTCTCCCATAGTATCTGCCCGGCCAATCTGATCTGGTCGGGCTGGCATGCTCCAGGTTCCTTCAGTTAAGCAATACCATCTGTTGGAATCCTGGAAATGAATCTTCTCTGTAACAGCCCCTAACTTCCGGAAGATACAAACAGCCCCTGCCCTTCTGGTGTTTTGAAGGTCCTTCACCCAGGCCTTTGGAGAGGATGACTGTGGTTTCCTTTTAACCCAGGTTGTTTTCCTTCGCTCCTCCCTAGTTTTTCACCCTGCTATCTTTGCCTTTTTATTGTTTGATGTTTTTCTTGTTTTAAACCATTTATAAATTTCCCAGAATCACTGGGAATTGAGCAACATATAAATTTAATAAATTATTATTATTGACTCTCCACAAGCATCCTTTAGAGCAGGGCTTTTCAACCAGTGGTACGGGTACCACCTGTGGTACATTGGCACCTGGCAGGTGGTATGCGACCATCTTAGAAAAGTGGTAGCAGGGGAGGGGAATGAGCTGAACCGGTGGCAGCACCGCACAAGCCTGAGCAAGAGATGGCTGGAGCTGCAGGGCTGTCAGGGCTCAGCAGAAGCGCCAGGATCAGCGCTTCTTTGGGACTGTCAGGGCTCAGTGGAAGCACCAGGATCAGTGCCAGACTCCAGTTGGAGCTGGGCGCTGATCCTAGCACTTCTGCTGAGCCCAGAAGAAGCGCTGATCAGTTGGAATGTTGCAGCATCTCCAGGGTCTTGTGATTTACATTCAGATGTTTGGCAACTGATTCATATTTATGACGGTCACAATATCCCAGGGTCATATGAAGTGACCAAAACCTGCTGCAACCACCCAGCAGACGGAGGGAATAAAAACCAAACACCCCCCCACCCCACCCCCATTGCCAATCCTCAACAGAAATGCTCACAACAATGAAAACCTCAGAGAGGAGGAAGAGCGCCACTGGGCAGGCAGGCAGGTGTCTTGCTCGGCTGTGCCTTGGGGGGCACTTTTTTCAGTGCCATTGTAACTTCAGTCACTAAGTGAACTGTTGTAAGTTGAGGACTACCTGTACTTCATCACTTTTTTTCTTTTTTTTTCTTTTGGTCATGTTTTTGACACCTTGCTAGGCGACTGGTGGTACTCGGATATTGCCATATCCTAAAAGTGGTACAATGGGTGAAAAGGTTGAAAAGCCCTGCTTTAGAGTTCCTCCAGAGAATCAAATCCTTGTATGAACTCTAGCCATAATTTAACTTGAATCCTTCCTCCAAGAAGCATATATCTATGGCTCATTAACCATGATAACCATTCCTTTGTAGCTTGTATTGCAAGTTCAACCCTCCTCTCCCCCAAATCTTAAAGACTGCTACAATCACACGCCAGTCCTTTGTCTCTGCCTTTTACCTTAATATTGTGATACCATAATATTCCTTTTATGGATGGTGCTTAACAAGGAGTGCATGCCTTACTTCTCCATTTCCTGAAATTAGCTGCACTGAAATATTTTTAGTATCTGTGGTATTGTTTTCCCTTCTTGTCAATAAGCATAATCCAATTTGGAGATCATAGAAGCATGGTGTGAGTAAGGTATGTTAAAAAGTTGAGAGGTGTGGCTCATTTAATAATTTTTATCTTCTTTGGCTTCCAGCAAAAAGCAGCTGCAAATATCCAGAAAACATTGGGAGGGAAGGAACATCAGGAAGGAGACAAACGGGTAAGATTGGATTCTGAAGTGTTGGGGATGAGGCTAGTAACAAGTGTAGTATCATTAAGGTCTAGACTTCCCTGTATAGCTTATTGGTGGGTTTTGCCTACGTATGGGCACACTTAGGTATCACTTATTTCTAAGAAAACACAATAAAATAATGCTATAGGTTTATGAGACTGAATGGATTGTGCTAATAACCTTTTTTCTAGTTCCAGTATGGGGAATTTGCACAGCATACTAATTGTCTTTGGGCTGAGCATGTAGCATAACTCCAGCCGGCTTGATGTGTAAATTGTAGTTTACACATTAGCACGCTCTGGTTAAACTAGCTATCCCTACCATGGTAGCCGTTTTGTGAGAACCCCCACATTTTGTTCTCAGATGCCCAGTAACCCTAGCAATCAAAATTCTGCAAGACATATTCACAATATTTTCTCTTGCGCTTTTATAGCTTTTTTCATCTTATTGATTTCAGTTGTGCCAATCAAGTCTTTTTATAAGTTAATAGAAATATATCTAGACTAGAAATTGGGGATGAAATGCCCTATAGTTGTTAATAATGTATTAGTATATATTAACCATACAATATTTTAGATCTGCAGGTTATTAAGATCTGTTGATTATCCACCCATATTTTATTGCTGCCAGTTAAGAATGAATCATAGATTTATAGAGATGGAAAGGACCTTGGAGGTCTTCTAGTACAACTCCCTGCTCAATACAGGAGCCTATCCCAGACAAATGGGTGTCCAATGGGTGTCCAGGGGAGGCAATTTGTTCCATTGATTCTCAGTGTCAGGAAAATTCGCCTTAGTTCCAAGTTGGCTCTCTCTTTAATGAGCTTCCCACCCATGGCTTCTTGTTACCCTGAGGTGTTTTGGAGAATAAGTCAACCCTTTCATTTCTGTATAAGTAGTCCTTGACTTACAACCGCTTGTTTAGCGACTGGTCGAAGTTACAACAGCACTGGAAAAAATGACCATTTTTTTCACTCCTGACTGTTGCAGCATCCCCATGGCCATTTGATTGACATTTGGATGCTTAACAACTGACACATATTTGTGTTGGTTGCAGTATCCCAGAGTCGTGTGATCCCTTTTGCGACCTGCTAATAAAAGTCAGTGGGAAAACCAGATTCACTTAACTGTGTTATTAACAACTGCAGCGATTCACTTAACAAATGTGGCAAAAAAAGTTGTAAAATGGGGCAAAACGTTTCATTTAGCAATATAAATTTTGGGCTCAATTGTCGTAAATTGAGGACTACCTGTACTGGAAAACAGCTATCATGTCACCCTAATCCTTCTCTTTGTTAGGCCAGATACACCTATTTCCCTTAACCGTTCATTATACAATATATGAAGGGTGCAGCACTTTCCATACTCAAGTCTGCATTTCTACCAGTAATTATTTCTGTTCCACTTTTCTTTGAAATTATAATGCATTTTAGGAAGTTAGTAAAGTAACACGTAATGTCTAAATTTCCACGAAAATCTTAGCTTATATTGTTTTTAGCTTGGTGTTTCCTGTTGAACAAGGTTGCCATATACTCATTGCAGTTTTGTTTCTAGGGTAACAAGATAAAACACACAAAGGCCCAGGGTGCTGCGAAAGAGCAGGTTGATGCCGTGGTCTCAGAGTTGGTGGAACTGCAGAAGCAACACAGTGTGGTAGAAGGAAAAGGGAAAAAGAAAAAGTGAACTGTTGAGCTGTGATTGCAATCAAGACATCTCAGGTTCATTTTGTTTGGGACAATTGCTAGCAACTGTGATCCCATTTAATTTTCTCCTTTTTTCAGTCTTTTTGTCACTACCACAAACAGTTCCAGAATCTTCAAATTGTTGGATTACACCGGACAAAATAAATACTTTATTGTTCTTTATACAAGTACAAAAGCACTGTTAGACGGAACGATACACGCGGACATCCCTCCCTGCATCTCCTCACAAGGACAAGAACAATAACTATTAAGAACAAGTCAGTTGCACAACTGCCACAGTCAGTCTCTAGGAAAGTCAGGGATCTCCTCTTTGCCTAAAATAACTGGGCCACACATAGTGCAGTTCTGTAAGGGAAGTCCAGAGTAGGAACAAGTTTTTCAAGTTCAAAGTGTCGCAGGGCACCGATGTGTTTTAAGGTGTCAACAAGTGGCCCTCCTTTTGGCGTGTGGCACAGTCACGCAATCCGGAAAGGATGAAGCCCTGCACACTTTGGTCCATAGGAAGGAGAAATAATTTCAGTGCAGAAAGTGTTCCCGGAACCCATCATGTCTTTAGGCTCACCATCCGCTGGATGAGCGCTGCCCGTGTAGCTTCCACCTCAGCGCTCAAGCGCTGTATTTCTTGCTGGAGGTGCTCATTGTGTGCTGTGAGCTCAGCCACTCTGCGCTCATTCTGCTGCTCCCGCTCTCTGCCGCGCCGTCTCTTGCCCCCGTGAGGCTGGCCACTCTGCCGCCTCTTCCGGCCAGTAGACATCCCTTCATCGTCATCCGTGCCTGTCTGTGTAGGAGAACCATGGCTAGAATCGGATTCAGCTGGCCCTGGGGGCTCCTTGCCCAGTTGCTCCAAAAGTTCTGCTGCAAGATCAGGCTCCAACTCGTAGTTTCCTGCCACTATATCCCCATCAAGCTCCAAGGAATTGGAAGTCTCCAAGTTCCACAACAGAGCAGCACCATCAAAGCCATCAAATTCCCTCTGAAAAAGAAGTGGAGCGAGAGACGGGTTACAAGATGCATATTGTTGGCCTCCATCTCCAATAGCCTCTGTGGCAGGCTGCAGACGGAAGTTAAAAAAACAAAGTTCTTAGCTGTCAAACCAATGGGAAGGCTTTGTGCTGGCTGTCTTTGCTGCCTGTTTGTTTCTACGCGTTTGAATATAAAGTGGAAGAAAAAAATCCACTCAGTCCTTTGGGTAAGGGGTGGGGGTTACATAAATCATTGTAATGTACAATTTAACCTGAAGATTTTAACTGTGCAGTATTTTGGATCTGATCTCCAAGAGGTGCTCTGATGCCTGAGAAAACATAAATACAGCCCTTCAATGTCTGCTTTGCATCCAGAAAACAGCTTCCTATGCTGTCATGGAAACTATAGTTCACAACCTGAGAACCTATGAAAATTTTATTAACTCACAACGCCTCCTTCCTATGCAGTCTCCATTTGCTGAGTTGCCTTGCCCACACAGCATGTTTAACTGACTCAGTGTTGGGTAAAATCCTCAAGTAGTGGAACAGAAGAGGTTATCTTTAGCACATAAGGGCCCTGTGTTGTATAAACTTTTAACTTGGATAAAAATGGAACAATATCCAACTTTGGTTCAAATAACTCCACCAAGAAAAATTGGAAGTAATCAGATTGCTGAAAGAACAAGTCTCTTTGTTACTGAACTTGCATCTACACCTCCCAAATGCAGAGTAGCCAAGCCGTGCCTATTACTTCCTAGCAATATAAAGAGTGCCGGCAGCCCTTATTTAGCGACTGTCTCACACAGCAACAATTCAATTACAACAATGATAAAAAGGTAACTCTGTGACCAGTCCTCACATTTACAACCTTTGCATGTAAAGCAAAGAAAAGCTGAAGTAAAATAAGCACAGTCACAGTTTCACTTTGCTTAATGACCGAGCTGCTGATCCCAATTGTGATCATTAAACAAGGACGGCCGGTGTATTCCTGAGGCAAGGCCTCTTGTGATTGGAGAAAATGGGAATCCTATTCCAAAATTTCAACTTAGTAGTGTAGCTGGATGCTGCCAAAACCACCAGTAATGAGATTTAACCAGATTGGTAGCTGACAGAAGATAATGAAGGCTGGCAGTTTATATTTGCAGCCATTTTGGTATTTAAGCTCTCGCCTCCATTCACATTTCTGATGCTCTTGAAGCTAGAAAGAGGACTGCAAACAGATTAAAGATACCAACATTTGGTATTATAAAAGAAATGTCTCCATATCAGCCCCATCTAATTAAAATTTCACTGCACTATTTGACGGGCTTGGAGGAATAATACATTTCTAAGGAAAGAATAATTTCTAAGCCTGTGCATGTGTTTTCTTAAGATAATGTCACAGCTCAACAAGCACACTAACAAGTCAAGACATTTATTACATTTATATTCTGCCCATCTCACATTTGAGCAATTTTTTGGGGAAGACTGGGAGTGCTGTATTGAAGGGCTTGCTTCTGAATATATGACTGAACAATGAGTGCTATCAATTTAGCATGGTGGATTTTAAAATATCACCTTTTGCCTAGTTATTTTTTTACTTATCACTATTTATTTTAAAGAGTTATATAGCTGCCCATCTTAGACCAAACTGAGGGTGGCTTCCAATCAAGAATTAAGCAACATTAAAACCATAAACATTAAAAACAAACACCTGGCACCAAATCAAGCTTCCGTCATGCAGTCACTTCATCCTATCCCAACGCCTGGGGAAAAAGCCAAGGCTTTGGGGAAGGCCAGGTGGATTATATAAGTCACCCATCTCACATAGTAACTCTTGGCAGCGTACATAACAACAAAATACATAAAAACTTATTAAAATCACAACTAAAAAAACCCTAAAAGACAGAATGGCTGCAAAGCATACAAAGCACACCAGTTAACATCATCTAACAGGCTTGATTCTATCATGGGATCCTGAGACTCATTAGGAAAAACCATGTTTTAGGGTCTTCTGGAAGGCCAGCAGGATGGGACCAGCATCAGTGGGGGGAGGGGAGGGTGGTTGACGTTCCACAGGGCAGGAGCCATGGCAGAAAAGACAATAGTCAAAAGCAGCTCAAATGAAACATTTAATAGAACCACCTTACTTGTACCTACTTAAAATTGAGTTCAGTGCAATTGGTCTATAATGCAGTGTTACTCAACTTTGGCGTGGCTAGCTGAGGAATTCTGGAAGTCGAAGTCCTCATCTTAAAAAGCCAAGGTTGAGAGACGCTGCTATAGTGGAAAACAGCCAGAAAGAACACTCCGATATGCCCATTACTCAAATTTTACATTTACTGAAAGGTACAAATGGCTTCTGAGCACACATACTTAGATTATAAAACCACCCCTGGAAAGACCTGAGGAAGCTACAATTACTCAGGCATTTTTAAATTGAAATATATCTAATAATTCCTTACATTACTGAGACTTTACCTTGGAAAAAAAATGAAAGCACTGAAAGATGAATATAACAACTGTAGCGTTCTAGAACACAACTCTTCAGATCATCACTTGATGAAGGGGAGGAATCATAAATGAAGTAAAATACAAGGGCATCCTCTTATTTGTTGCTTTCCAGATGTGCCAAACCTGGCCAGTGTGAGTAATTATGGGAACATCTGGAAGGCACCTGACGGGCACGCGGTTTTATGTTACAATGAATGTGCCCATTTTTAAAGGATTGCAAGATCTGTTGCCGTAGGTAGTGGCCACATCCCTCTAATGCAGGAAATAGTGTGATCTAGAGCCAGCCCACAAAAGAACAATAGAATCAACCGCCCACTTGATGCAGGACTCAGCAGTTCTGGAAGCATCAGAGAAAAGCCATTTGACTCACCTGCTCCTGTCCGCCCCCCGAGGGGTCTGTCCTGTTGGATACATCCGAGGACAGCACTTCCTGCAAGTCCTCGTACCAGGCTTCCAATTCCCACGTGGGCACTGGTGTGCCCAGTGAAAAGGGCAGGGATTCTGCCATCATGGTTCAGAAATAGCCACACTGCTTCTGAAAGACAAAGTTATGGATGCTGTCAGAAAACCGGATAACATCTCTGTAGATTGCCACACAGCTCAGCAAGTTAGACTTGCTCTGGGAGCAAGAAAAAGTTTCTCCAAGGTTTCATTTTAGTTCAGATCACCTACAACAGTGGTGGAAAATGCGTGCCAGAGGCAACACTCAGAGCCCTCTCTGTTGGCACGCGCACCGCTACCGCCAGCAGCAGGTCCATCAGGCCACCACCACCGCTCGGAGCAGGAGCCCCACCCAGCACAAATGAGGCAAAGTGGCCGACTAGCAAGCTCAAGTAGAGGTGATAGAGCAGAGGTCACCAACCATTGTCGATTGGCGGACTGGAAGAAAAGGGAGGGGGAAGTATTTTACATGCGCCCATGCACACACAGGGCTGCGAGCATGCATGCGCTGCAAATGAGGCGTGGCTAGTGCCTGCATGATACTCACTAGCCCTGCCCCATTCCTGCATGGTGCAGCGCCTTGTATCTGCACCCTGCGTTACGGCGGCGGCCATTTTTGCACCTTGCAGCACAGTGGCCCATTTTTGCGCCCCTGGTTTTTGCGTGCCAGAGGTGGCACTCAGAGGTGCCTCTCTGCCCCCCCCCCCGAGGGCACCACAATGCTGATGGGCCTTGGCACTTTGCGATAAATAAGTGGGTTTTGGGTTGCAGTTTGGGCACTCGGTCTCTAAAAGGTTCGCCATCACTGAATTACAACAATGGGCAAGTAGAAAACCTTCTCATCTCTCATGTTAGGAAGCCTTCTCTCTCATGTTCCCAAAAGAAGCCCCTACAAAATCTGCTCAATGTACCCGAGGCAGAGCAAATTCTTTTAAGAGCAAAAATTAAATAGAACAGTAAAAATGCATGTGGGCTGTGAGGGGAGGAAAAAAGCAACCTCAAATTGCAATTGGGCAGCACTCTTACGGAGGACCAACCTGAATGCAGCACATGAAAGGGCAACTAGGTTGGGAAAGGCTGAACACCCTATTAGCAAAAGGCAGAACAGCTTTTCAATGAGACCAATCACTAAGTTGGCATCAGCCAACTTACACTGGATCATACCCTCCTGACAAGCCAGTTCTGAACTTCGCAGGACTTCTTCAGAATAAGAATTGTAGCTGTCAATATATGCCATATTTTTGACGTTATGACTGAAATTGGTCCATTGTATTTACAGTATGTAGATACACATGAGCAAAACTGCAGTGTGTATCCATGTAACCATGAAGCATTCCATTTCAGAGGCACCTTACCAATTTTGTTTTACTTAAATGATCTACTGGGGGGGGGGGGAACAGGCAGGGAAAATGGTGTTTTCTCCATATACCTGCTGTGAGCTGATTCTTTATTCAAGCTCTCAATTCAATACTGTATTCAAGTCATACTGCACAGGGAGATAAGTCAGGGGTTTTCCAGATGTCTTAACAATGGGCGGAGGTTAGCAAAAGCAAACCTCCTGGACTGTGAGAAATAAGAGGTGAGTCATCATCACAAGACAGGCTGGGAGGGCTAGCCAAGCTTTCCTACATCTCAGATATGGAAATTTTCTTTTCTTCCTGGCCTGGAAGCCAGCTGGGACATGCTCAGAGTAGAAAGCACCGTCCATTTTTGGAGGCTCCGAATCAGCAATTAACAGAGCCACAAGCAGGTTTGCCAAAACAAGTGACTGAGCAATGAAGGCTTGCATAACGCAGTGAGTTGGCACAGAGAGCCTCTCTGCCCAATTAACTTTTCCTGTAATGTATACTCTGAGACATATTGGACCACTGAAGCAAATTTCAGGCACCTTTGAAAAAAGCCTAGCCTTTTACGTAAGCTTTCCACAGCCAACCAGGTCTGTGTCTATTTAAAACTTTAACATGAACAGATTACCCTGATTCCCGGCCATCCTGTGTTGGGCTGAGAGTGTGACTGGCCCAAAATCACCCAGCTGACTGTTATGCCTATGGAAGGACTAGGACTTGAAGGCTCCAGGTTTCAAGTCCATCACCTTAATCCCTGCACCAACCTGGCTCTATTTTACAGCTATCAGCTGTATAAATTACCGATTCTGGAATAACCTTCGTATACACAATGGAAGCATCTTAAAGACATTTAGAATATTCCTGGTGAAAGCACCATGATTGCATTGTCTTCCACAAGGAAACAACAGCAAAACCATTAAAAACCAGTTTGTTTTAAACAACCAATGAAAACCAATTATTTGTTTTAAAATGCTTTTCTAAGCACAAGCTTCAATTCACATAAATATGTATGCCCTCCCCACTGATCCAAATACTTCACTTGCATAAGCCACCATTCTAGGCATTATTTCAACAGATAACTGATAACAACCATATGAACACGGCATTTATTTATGATATAAATATTTGTAAATTATACAGATAAAATATATTGTGCAATAAAAATACATCAGTTGGGGGGGGAGGTCAAAGAAAGAACAGCAAGTAGTTTATGTTGACATTTGTGCCTCTAAGAACATATCATTATTATTGTTATGAAGAGCTTGGTTTACAGTTTCTTCTAAATGAACATAACTATTTTTACAGTATAACTGTAACTGCCTCGAAAAAAGACTAGTTTTAAAAGAGGGAATGAATGAAATTGAATAATGTATTATTTTTGAAATGCAACTTTTCTGCTAAATATAACATTCTTTAGGTTATAAAAGTAAGAAGAACGCTGGACATGCCTGAAACAGTCACAGGTAATCCTCAACTTACATCCATAATTGAGTTTGCAATTTTGCTTGTAAGTCATGACGGTTGTAAAGCAGGTCAGCATTTTATGACCTTTTTGCAGAGGTTGCCATTTGAATATTGCAGTCATTAAGCAAACTCACGGTTCTCTATGGGGAATTTTTTTCTGAAAAGTAATTTTTCGAGAAAAATTGTCATAAATTACAGCCATATTGTGGGCTGCTTGCCAAGCACCCAAAATGTGGTCACATGATAATGGGGGTAGGGAAATGTCAAAACTTCAAATCTCAAACCTGAAAAAAGCAGTGCCCCCTTGGTGTATTACAACATGGGAACCCATTCACTGTGCCTGTCCCAAGGTGAAGGAATGAGACATGACCTTGGGAATGAGGAAATTTTAAGTTGGAAATGTGGAACGCAGGAAGGGTCATTTTATCATGTTTGGTGGATTTACAAAACAGCCAGAAAATTTTGGGTTTGGGCTCAGGTACACAGGAATACCACAAATTTTAAAGATTAATATTCAGTTAAAACAGAACTTTTCTTATTGGGACTAATGGATAGACAATTAGAAAAGCATTATGGAAGACCAAGATAATTATAGGCACAAAAAGTGGAACGATTCTGAAATACCCAACAATGAAGGAATGGTAGAGATGACAGGATTAGCAGAAGTTGTTTTGTTTGATTAAAGATCAACAACTACATTTGTTAATGACTGGAAAGCCCTTCTGGGCTTTCTGCTGAAAAAAGAAAAAGAAACAAACATGACAGATGATTAGAAAGGGTAGACAATGGAAAGAAGGATATTATGTTGTATTCTTACGGAGAGAAGGCAAAATATAAAGGTACTTGGAACTGGTGTTAAGAAGATTGGAAGTAGCTTCTTTATAACTTTTTTTCTTTTCTCTATTTCTTTTATTGCACTTTTTCATCCACATAACTTTCCTTGGTTTTTTCTTTCAAAATTTGTATTGTTCTTACTCTTCCACAGATTTCTTAGTGATAATTATATACATAAGGAAATGAGGAAGGAACAAGCAAACTATGAAAGGGGGACCTTCAGAAAAAAATTACTGAATCCCAGGGAAAAAAAGGATGAGAAACGATCCAGCCTTGATTTTGTTTAGTTAAGGCAGAGAGAAATTAAGACAGGCTTTCCAGATTTTGTTATTCTGTCCTACAAAAAGCATTCCCAGAATCCCTGCTACTACTGGTTTCTTGACCTGGCCTATCTTGAAGGCCAAATGATAGGAGACTCTATAATCCAATCTTACAATGTGTCTATTCTGGAGCAAATCCACTGAATTCAACAGTTATTCCTCTCAAAAATGCAGAGTTCTTAAAATGAATCTATTTGAAGTTTAGTACAATGCTCCCAAGATTCCCTCCATGCAACCTGTTTTTCTTGGATGCTTACCTTTTTTTCAAGTGTGGTGATATATTAATGTGCGATTTTTTGTTCGAAACTGAAAGAAGAGAAAAATCTGTGATTATTACTAGAAGAGGACACTGTGTATCATAAATGTGTTACACCCATCTAAGGAAAGCCCCCCACAATCTTGCCCTTTGACACTGAACAGCAACGTGGAATGGGGGCACCACAAATTCCCTTTACTATTTTTTTTCACTTCTGTCCTTTAAAATGGGGAAGTGCTGCTGCTGCTGCTGCTGCTTATCAAAGCATTATTCTCTTCTTCAAGCTCATTGACAATTACCTATATGTTTCACATTAGTCCTTCTTTCCCATGATCATCTTTGTGCCATGACTTAGATTGCAGCCAAAGTAATCATTAAGGGCTTTAGGTTTTTTGGAAGTAGCATGTTTATGCATTTTACACTCAAAACCATTTTTTTATTCTTTTAAATGCATTATTTCTAACATTTTTTTTTATAGAAAGGATAAATCCAGATGAAAAAAACATCTGGATGCAGCTCGCCCTTCCTTCACTGAACTCAGCATCAGAAACAGTTATATTCCCTCTATCCCCACCTTGTAAAGCAGAGAAGACCAAATTAGCATGGGGGTTACAAGCTAAAACTGCAAATCAGAGGACACTTGCACTCAGACCAAATCAGACAATGCTTACACTTGTAAGAATCAGAATCTACACTTGCCAAATCTAGTGGTTTCCTTTTAACAAAATACAAACATCAATCTCATTTGATTATGAAAAAAACATTCCTTCCATCCCTACAACAGATACTCTCTACATGCATCAAACTTAGGTAGATACTCTCTACATGCATCAAACTTAGGTCTCTGCTTTCCAATGAGCTTCATGGACAGGGGCACTTGGTGTGTGTGATTGTACTCTTAACACCCATGGCAGGAACCAAAGACGGCTGCTTTCCATTCTAGCCATGCATCTCCTACAGAGATTTCTGCAATGCCCCAAATCAAACAGCAAAGCAGCAACATTACACTGAACCCCACAGGAACATAGCAGGCACAGGGGACAACACCACTGGTTTTCATCAGCCCCGAGTGATGCAAGAAACTAAGAGAATTAGGGATCCAAGAACTGTTATGCAGCTTAGTGGAAAGATGCATGTTTATGTGTGTGCAAGAGAATGGTTCCCAAAGGAATTAGAGAAGCAGGCATTCCAAGTAACCAGAGTACCCTGGGGGGGGGGTGACTTTCCAAACTTGGCAGGAAATGTTGCAGCACTGTCCTCAGCTACTGGCAAGAATGCATCCCTTTTAGACTTCTCCAATAGTTTAATAAATTCTGATAAATTCTTCAAAGTTCTCAGCAAGGCAAGATTTCATTTCCAATGGTTTGGGGGGGGGGGAAGCTTGCTATAACAAAAGCTTTGTCCTCAGGATTACTTGTCAGGCCCACAGCAAGCACATAGCTGTGAGAAAGGATGTAGCCTGAGCTGGCCAAGCACCCAGTTTCAAATTATTTTAGAAAATAAACCCCCATTTTCTCTTCTCTGCACTGGAAACTAAGCAGGCCAGGAAAAATCAGGTTTGGCTACACTACAAAACCCAGCTAGCATCCTTAAGTTCACTCCGGAAACCTGGGCACCTCTCAAATTTTCTAGGAAGGAAATGGGAGTTGCTTGGGGGAATCCACAACGCACTATACCGTATACTGGTTTTACACCATGCCCCCATGGTACTCATCCCTTTCCTATGAAATTGTGTTTTTAATAAAAAAAAATAGACTCAAACGCCCCCCCACCTTTATGCAGTACACACAAATTCTGCAACCCGTTCTGTTTAAAATGTTAACTGAGTGTTTGTTAGATAAGCAAATTCACCCCTCGTGTTCTGATCTCTTTCTGGGTAGAAAGACTCAACACAAGCCAGGATCTATGAACCATCCCGACTACCTGGCAGGAAAAGGGGGAAGAAAACGAGCCTTTCCAGGTACTGGTCGGGGGGCACACGTGGAGAGAAAAAAAAAGGGACCGGCCAATATTAGCCAGTGCTTCAGGTCAAGAGGCAACGAAAGCGCCGCGCATCTTGCAAGTGGAATCCAGCTTAGAGTGCCAGATCCGCCAAAGATGCAGAGCCCGTGAACAAACCGATCCGGTTTTTCTGTCCAGCTATCCAAACCCTTCCCTGGGCGCCCGAAAAGTGCGCAGGCAACCGAGTTTGTCAGGCGCTTCTCCCCTCCCAGTTCCGCACCTTCCTACGCGGCCCCTTCTCGCCCGCGATCCTCTCTCCAACTTGCTGGCTACGGCTCATTCTCCTCTCACGGCTCATCGTCTTCCGCTCTCGACACCCGCCGGCTCCCAAATGCCTCCTCCCACCTCCTGCTCGGGATGGTCACAGAAATCTTTAAAAGAGCGCCCCGCCCCCCTCGGCATGACGCAACCCTTGCGCCATATCTGACCAATTGGCGACGTCGCGCCTTGCCATTGGCGGAACAAAGATAGCCTCCGCCCTTCGCCGCCCAATGGGGCGTCGTCGTCCTCTCGCTAAGCCCCGCCTTCTCCAGTGTGAGTGACGCAGCTCCGCTGTGGTGGATACTGCCGCGTCGCACCCGGAAATGACTCCTCCCGAAATTTCCCCCCTCCCTTCAGGGTCACGAGTCTTTAAGTGGGTGAGTCATGCGCTGGAGATGATGCAATGTCCTGGCAACCGTTGGCGGTCACGGCAGCGGGCGCCGAGGCTGAAGTTCTGACCTTGGCCTTCCTAGATCCCTTTTATAGGGCTTGCCTTGTTTTCTTTTCTGTTTTCCCTCCTCCTCCAACGAGCCTGTGCCTAAATCTCCCAATAGTAACTAGGCCGAATTACGTTGGGACCCCCCCCTCTGATAAGCTTTTATGACGTCACGCCACGCCCACCGTTTGCTTAAAGGGCCAGTTGTCCCTGGGGAAACAGTGACAAGGCCTTACCTGAGCTGTCCTTGCACATAGTATTTGGCCTATTGTTGCTCTATGCTATTGTTATTATCATCACCTGAAAAGCGGGGGGGGGGAGGGCTTTTGGAATGAAATAAATAGAGCTGCCCATCGGTTCAAGATACTGGATTAATAGCACGGATTTGAAAGGTTGTAAGCCTGTGTACATTTGCTTTTGAATAAAACGAGAGTTCTGAAGAAAAAGCATTTTCTCCCTTGATTTTTAATGATGTCATATATGAATTCCAGAAAGCCCAACTGTAAATGATTGCAGTTTTGAAAATAATCTGCTCTTTGTACTAAGGAGTGCTTATTTAATCAGAACATTTTAAACCAGTTGTTTTAACTAGTCAAATCTAAATATTGCACCTGAAATTCAAAGCAATTCCGTGGGGAAGAAAACTGTGTATACACACACAAGTGTATATCCGGATTGTGTCCCTTTTCACCTCAGTGAGATTTAGTCAAAGAAAGGAAGTAGCAGAGCTTTGCACAATTCTAATAACACTTGTTTAGGAGAAACAAACTAATAAAACAATAAGGACACACAGAAATTATATATTAGACTAAAAAAGAAAGTACTTATGTAAGTGTCAAAATTGCTCCTGGCACAAAAATTCAGGCTATTTCTAACTTTGCATAGATAGGATTACCAAATGACTTCTAATTTGAAACAATACAAAAAAGCCCAACTGCTCTGTGTATCAAGTAGTTAAATACTAGATTTTTGAATGGATTTCATCAAGTGATTCAAGCTACTTGAATAGGTTTCATAAAAATGAATGCAACTGTAAGTAATTAATATAAAACAAGCATTGGATTTAGAAAAAGGACTTGAACTTTTAAACTGGAATATTATGATTATTTCATTTGAAAATGAATTTGAGAAGCTACCTTTAATGTATTGTATTGGCAGTGTAATTTGAATAATTTGATATTTCATTCTGTTGTTATGCTTGTGAGCCAGAATCTCAATTTCCCATCACAAACTTCTATATATCATCTTGCCTGACAAATAGCATTGAAAGTGGAGCTCTGAATGGCAAAACATTCTACGGTGACGTTCTGTTTGTAGGAAATGCTAGTCAGGCCTGACACAGCTTATATCCCCTAGGAATCCATGACACACTGTAATATACAGTTTTCTCTCACAGTGTTGCTTAAGGGGATGTCTAGTAGAAGGTGGATAAGCTATCAGGGAACCTTCAGAGCTCCCACAAGAACTTCCAAAAATCCTTGTGTACACTATCAAACAACTGCAAAATTTAATAGACTTGGGCCTAAAACTCTAGTATACAAATCCACATTAAAATATGGCTCTTTCTGTCATAATTACAGCATTGAAGAATGTGAACATTAATAACTTACATTAGAATTAGAAAATTAGATCAGTAAAGTTATTAATAAAAAGCATGTTTTTAATAAATTGCCAACTAACGTTTATATGATCTGAAGAACTTTGGGATTATGACTGGACCTAATTAACCACCAACAGCATTCTCCTACATAAAACTACACTGTATGTCATACTTTTGATCTGTTCACAAATATGACCATTGACCAATTCAGGTGTCTGCTTCTGTTGCAATTCATCCAGAGTCTTCTTCCCAAAGCAGTGCAGAATTTCTTTTGGTTTCTGTATGAGACACGTTCATTCAATACATATATGGTACAGTATAAGATAATAATTTTATTTTGGCCAGAATGTTGTTGGATGCCTGTGAAGGACAGTAAATTGGACTTACATGTGATTTATGGAGCACAAGTCATCAAATCTTGTAGAAACAATTTCCCTTTGAATTATTTAATATGAAATTATCTTTTGTCAGCTTGTGCTCCATTCCTGAGAACCACAAATAATAATTTACCATGCTTGGTGGTATGCCAATGCCAATATAACTGCCTATTTATTCATTCTTAACAGATTTTTCTCTTATGAGAAAAACTTGATCCCAAAGTCTGCTTAATGTATATTTTGCATAGATGTCTATTGTTTTGTTAAATTTTTCATAATTAAGATATGTATTACTTTCATCTCCACTTCAGTTTCTTTATGTTTAACATCCAATTGTGCTCAGGCTTAATTAGCTGAATATGAACAGCCTTTTATCACCTCTATCTATGCCACACAGATCATAGGCTATGCATCACTTTGGATGGGTTTCCAAGAAAGGTGCTCTGGAGTGATTTCTGGATTGCAATCCTGGGGGGGAGGGGGAAGCAGTTGTTTTGAAGAGTTGCAGAGAGCTGTTATGGTCTTGCCTTTAAAGCATGTTTTGGGAATCAAATCCAGACTCCTAAACTGTTCTTTTAAATTACTAGATTAATAAAACATCTGAAGAGTATCCACCATTGAAATCCCAGATAAAACCATAGTTCCAGGAGAGGAAATATCTAACTTGTATTATCTCTTGAATGCACAGCCATAAGACATACAGTAGTGAATTATCAATTCAAAGCGTTTAAGAAAAGAAACTAGATTATTTGCACTGGATCTCTATCAATTATTATTTACCTCAATAGCTAATTGTCTATCTATCTCAACTTCTGAGGTTAAAACAAGCTGCAAGAGAAACTGTAGCCTCCTTCTCTGTTAGTTTGAAACAGGATCCTGGATTGTATAGAACTTTAATTTGTCTAAACAATTTTTTAATGTTGCTTAAAAGAACTTCTTTGCTGGATCAAGTGAGAAGCCTTTTCAGGGTATTATTTGCAGCATGGTCAGTAAGATGCCTCTGGAAAGCTAGCAGTTTTCTCCTGCTGTCCCACCCTTTAAGTGAGAACACAAAAGCTTCCTCCACACAAAAGGATAGGCTGAGATTTTGTTTAAAGCTATTTGTTATCAAATCCAGTAAGTTATCTAAATACAGCCAATTAGGTTGAGTGAATCATGGTTAAATTAATCTGTATATTTATTCTATAGCCACCTATCTCATACCTGTGACTTTAGGCAACTTACATTAATGGGAACAGTATTTTTAATTCTTCCTTGGCAGTTTCTGCCCATTGTGATAGAACTTTGGATTCTACGTTTCTCCTCAGAATAGGGAGAAGATTCCCGAGAATAACTTTTTACCTTCTAGAGTTTCCATCTTATAAACTGCCTTTATATAATGTAGTTGTATAGACTGTACACACCAATTTTATCCATTCAGGGGCAAAACAAGGATGATCATATAGGGGTTCATCTTTCATTCCCATTAAAACGTCACTGCGATACGGGATCGGGTCCTTTCCAAAGGCTGCCCAAACCTCTGCAAGCGCCTTCGAGACATGGGTTGGGGAAAGCAGGTCGTTCTCGAGCATCTTAAGAGCTAGTGGGTCAAAGCGAGGCAGGCCGCAAACAACAGGCGGCAGGATTACTGCCGTGAGTGCCGTTCCAATTTCCGCACCGGGACTTTGAAACCACCCAAAGGGCCCAGGCCAGATTTTACAGCGAGCCCTGCGCTCAAAGCGCAGCTCCTGCGCCCTAAGCGCAGAGCGGAGGAGGTCGGGAACGGAATTCCCAGGGCTGTTCCCCCACTCCCCAACCTCCACCCTCACCCGGCCCCCAGTGCGCATGCCAGGGAGGAAGCTCCTTTGCTCTACCCCCTCCTCTTCCTGGCACTGAGTCCAGGGGGGAGGGAGGGAGTGAGGTAGGCACTGGGGGGTGGGGGTGGAGAGCACCAGCGATCCCCTGCACCCTGACCCCCCCACCCACCCGGCACCCACCGCAGGTGGGGGGGGCCACCCGTAGCCCCCGGGAGAGACGCGATTACAAGTTGGAGCTTGCAGCTGCTTCTGGGGAGGGGGCACCATGAACCAAGGTAAGTGCCAAAGGGGCCCTGGGCACTCTCTGAAGTCGGACTTCGGGGTGCATTTGGCAGAGGCTAGGGAGTTGTGAGTGCCCGGAGTCGAGTCGATCTCCTGCTGCAGCTTCTCTTGACAGTTCAAACTTCTGCCGGAGTTGCCGAGCCTTTCCATTAAAGAGGAGCTGCTGGGAAAGGGCGATTTGGCCGCCACCTCTTAAACTATTCTTCCTGTACCAAAAGGGAATAAATAATGCTTTTGGGGAGAGGGGGGAGGATTTCCCATTTAAACCCGATTGCACAAAGCTAAAGAGAAAGGTTGCCGGGGTGCTTGGTTGCCTTATGTCTTCCCTTCTTGGGGGGGGGGGGATCCAAACCCCACTCCTAGACCTTCAGTTACTGCTATGGTGGGAAACGTTCAGCCATCCTCCAGGGATGAAGGGGGTCTATGACCCAAGGAAGAAGGGGCAGTACCAGAACATTACTCGGTAATGCTTCCAGCTTCTGTTTTCAGTCTCTCAAACTGCAGGTGGCAAAAAGGGTGGACAGAAGGATTGCTTGTCACAGATATGTTTCCCCACAAATTTCTCATAAGAGGATTCTCCTGGAGTCTGATTTCTGTATCTCCCAT